ACAACAGTGAAAACTCAAGTTTGAGAGCATCTACCCAAGGGGAAACTTCACGGAAGTGTCACAGGATGAATCGCAACATGTACAAGCACTAACAAGAGTGAAAACTCAAGTTTGAGAGCATCTACCCAAGGGGAAACTTCACGGATGTGTCACTAGGTGAATCGCAACATGTACAAGCACTCACAACAGTGCAAAATCAAGATTTGAAGCATCTACTCAAAGGGAAACTTCACGGAAGTGTCACAAGATGAATCGCAACAAGTACAAGTACTCACAACAGTGGAAAATCAAGATTTGAAGCATCTACTCAAAGGGAAACTTCACGGAAGTGTCACAAGATGAATCGCAACATGTACAAGCCCTAACAACAGTGAAAACTCAAGTTTGAGAGCATCTACCCAACGGGAAACTTCACTGAAGTGTCACTAGCTGAATCGCAACATGTACAAGCACTCACACCAGTGGAAAATCAAGATTTGAAGCATCTACTCAAAGGGAAACATCACGGAAGTGTCACAAGATGAATCGCAATATGCACAAGTACTCACAACAGTGGAAAATCAAGATTGAGAGCATCTACCCAGGGAGAAACTTCACGGAAGTGTCACAAGGTGAATCGCAACATGTACATGCACTAACAACAGTGAAAACTCGAGTTTGAGAGCATCTACCCAAGGGGAGACTTCACAGAAGTGTCACTAGGTGAATCGCAACATGTACAAGCACTCACACCAGTGGAAAATCAAGATTTGAAGCATCTATTCAAATGGAAACATCACGGAAGTGTCACAAGATGAATCGCCACATGTACAAGTACTCACAACAGTGGAAAATCAAGATTGAGAGCATCTACCCAGGGGGAAACTTTCACGGAAGTGTCACAAGCTGAATCGCAACATGTACAAGCACTATCAACAGTGAAAACTCAAGTTTGAGAGCATCTACCCAAGGGGAAACTTCACGGAAGTGTCACAGGATGAATCGCAACATGTACAAGCACTCACAACAATGGAAAACCAAGATTTTACAAGAGGGAAGGAGGATGGAATAGGGGGAGAGAGGAAAAGAAAGGCAAAGGAAGAAGAAGAGGAAGAAGAAGGAGAAGAAGAAGAGGAAGAAGAAGATGAAGAAGAAGAAGAGGAAGAAAGAAGGAGAGGGGAAGAAGGAGAAGAAGACTGAGAAGGGGGAGAGGAGGAAGAAGGAGGGAGAGGCCTCCCTCCTTTTCACTCACCTCCTTGCTTGTACCCTGGCGATGAAGTCCCAAGCTTGGCTCTAGTTCCCTAGATATGGCTTCTCTTTTCCTTCCTCTTCCACTTCTCCTCTCAGTCTATGGCCAGCCCCTGTTACTAGGGTTGTGGAGTCCTTCCCTCTAGAAAGGCTAAGGGGACCCCAACCAGCCTCTCCTTCTACATCACAGCCTGAGGGCTATGGCGGACCACCTCCCCTAGCTTCCTAGTCCTCCTTCCTACCTCAAAACACCATAGCCAGGCTTCAAGGCTAGCACCAGCTCACTCCTCCTTGCCCTACTCTCACTAGTGCTCTCACGGGCTCAAACTGGCAGCATGGGCACCTCTCATGCTCAAATGAGAGTTGCGGGCAGCACTTCCAGCTTATGTAGGCTGGAACTAGTGCACCGCCTAGCCCCTAGGCCTCTCCAAGTGCCCCCTTGGTAAGCCGAAGTACCTCCAAGGCCAGAATTCAAGTTTTGGCCTCTCTGGAGGTACCTGGGCCCCATTTTGGCCAGGTACATGCAGCCGAAGTGGCTGGTACCACTTCGGACCACTCATAGGCCTACCCCGGTCTCTTTTCCTTCCCAAGCTGCTGTCTTTTTGGGGTACGCATGCCCAAAATGCTGCCTTTGGTGAAAATTAAGGGCCTAAAGGCCCTTTTCTTGTCTTTTTCCAGATGTAGGCCTTTTTGGAGTAGGCCGTTGCATTTTCAAAGTGGCGGCATCCATCTCAGCCTTGGATCTGGCTGAGATCCGAGGTCCACAATGCTGCGGCCTCTTCTCAAGTCTCCCTACCTCCAAAATTAAGGCCTTTACTCCAATTTTCAACTTTCTGATGAATTTGGCCCAACCCTTTGGCCAAATTCCCAGTTTTGTCCTCTTTCTTGCTTTGTTTTCCCTCCATTTTGCTGCCACCTCATTCCGGAGCTAGCCGTTTTGTGTCAGCCCACACAAAACAGCTAGATCTTCTCCTCCACAAGATCTGATCTCAAATCTAAGGCCAACAAAATAGCCGACCAACTCAGATCAGCATTTTTCTGCATTTTTGCTGATTTAACTTAGATTTTGCAGAGATAATGCCCCAAGGGCCTTATCTCTGCAATCCGGACTGCACTCCTAGGATCTAGGAGGGATGAGGTCATCATTGGGACCTGCCCATCCCTACTGCTGCAGTCCCAACCTGGCGGCACATTTTCCTCCACTCCTCCCTCCTCCTTTGTCTCATTCTCCCCCTTTCTCTCCCCTCTTTCTCTCCTTCCTCTTTTATTTCTGTTGGGACAAGTGTACAATAGCTATTTCTTCTCTTTCTGGCTGTTGGACCTTTCCCAAAGTCTGATTTTGCAGGCAGCATATGGTCGTTACACCCTGGACTACAGTAATGGCACCCCCAAGGCCCAAGGAGGCTCCTTTTTGCTGCCCCCGCTTCCTGTTTGGGACCCCCCTTGCTCTGATTTTTCTCCGGCCAGCCCTTTTTCCACGTGGAGCCCCTGGAAATTCGTTTTGCCTGGCCTGGCTGAGTCGGGGTATTCGGAATGCTGGCCGGCCCCCCTTACTGCCCCTACTCCATCTGTTTTTTTCCCCTTGGCATCTCCCGCCGGCGATAGTTGAGGCGACACTTAACTTCTTCGCCCTCCCGTCCACCTGACGTCATGCTATTTTATGTATCGTTGTTGCACTTGATCCTGGGTCCCCTTGGGTCGCCCCAGGTGCCCGCCGTCTTTCCTGTCTCACGTCCGTCCCCTCCGTTCCGTTGGCAACTTTCGTTAGCGCCCGACTTCTCCTCTTTTACTTATGGTTCCTAGCCCCTCCCCTATTCCCGGCGTCATCCCGGTTGACGTCCCGCTTTCGCACGCCCTCCTTCTTGGGCTGGTTGCCGATTATTCGGCCGATGGCTCCGGTCTTCAGCCCCTTTCGGCGGCTCTCGCCACTTTACACTGTCGCTACCCGTCTTGCTAGTGGTTCCGCCGGTGCCACCATTTTATGCGGTCCCTGGCACTTCGGCCCGCCTACACTGCGTCTTTTCCCTTGGTCTCACGCGTTTCCTGGTACTCTGCCCCGCCGGCACCACGCCGTCCCCTGGTCCCCGACATTTTGTTCTGCCTGCACCGCACTCCTTCTTAGTCCCCTGTGGTCCCCGGTACTTTGTTTTGCCGGCACCACACTTCTTGCGCGCCCGCTATGCTACTACTGACTTCCCGGCGGCCCTCCTTCGTCCTTGGGAAAGGAGTCGCTTCTGCTATTCTTTTGTCGCTTCCCGGTTAGGCAGTCCTTTTCTAATTTGGCGGTCCTGGCGACTCTCGGCCGCCTCTAGCTTCCTACTGTTTGTGCCCACGCTTTCGATCTTTCCAGCATTCCTGCCTCCGATTTTCTCTGTCATGCACAAACTGGTCATATACAGTCTCTTGAGTAACGGGAAAACATTCGGGACTCACCAGTCCCGACAACGGTCGCCGCATTCCTCCTGGTGGGTTCCAATTCACCCGTTCTCCCTGCGGTCCGAATACCTCCCCTTTTAACGACCTGGTACATCTCCTTTTTATTATATCATGGTTAAGCTTTGGACATGCGCGTACATAATGTCCCATCGTGGTGCAGTACTTGCATTGCTTGTTAGCAGGATCTCTCCGTTCAAATCCCCGATTGGCTACACCCGGTGGAACTACGGCTTCCTGGGGAGGGAGGGGGGGTCGGGATACTTGCGCCTGCATAACCTATAGCGCTCTCTCCATCCTTTCAATCTTGTTGTCGACTCCGTGCACCCGTTCATGTAGACTTTCGATCCCCTTCTTTACCTTGTCGCTTGTTCTATCGGGTCTATGACCTTCCCTTCCTTAAGCAAGGCCAATGTCTCGGTCACTACTGTCTTTTCAGCCAGATCCGTTACTGTGCTAAAATCAACATCCGTGGTATTTACTAACTTGCTCATCTGCTGGTAGGCCGACAGAATCTTGTCTTTGTCGAACTCAGAGAACTGCCTAAGGAAGTATTTGCTTATTATCCGATCCGTTACTCCCGGGATCCTTAGTGCTACCAGAGTAAACTCCCGTAGGAAATCATTGTACGTTGAGAAGTTTTTCCTCTGGACTGCCGCTAGGTCGGCCTCCGTAGCCATCTTCTCCGCTGCTAGGTACTTTCTCATCATCACATCCCGGGTTTCCTTCYAGGATCGGCTAGCGGCTACGATGGCCATTATGTCCCGTCCCAAGCTCAAAGACACATGCTGCCCCAGGTGGTCCATTTTTTCTTCTTCGGTCCATTTTAGCAGCGCGGCCARATTCTCGTAATCTATCAGGAATTCCGTGATGTTCGCCCCGTCAAACGTCAACTTTTTCTTAGCGTCCGCTAAGTAGCCTTGATTTTTGTTTTGTGTTCGCGCGAGGGACGACACTATCTTCCTAAGGCCGCCCTCGGAGCTACTGGCCTCGCCTGCCATACTGTTATCCGGACCTTCCTTGCCGGCCTTCTGTCCCTTCCTAGTCTTTGTACTTCCTTCCGGGTCGAACCATCCCAACACCCTTTCCCTGAGGCTCCAGAGCCCTTCAAACCCCCGCGTTACTGCCGGCGTAGTCGGCAGACGGCTAGCCCTACTATCTATGGCTGGTGGGTTTGTAGCTTTCTCCGCTTCCATCCCCGAAGAGTTCTTTCTTTCTTTCCTTCTTTTGCTCGGTTTTCCCCCACGGTCGCTACCCTTATCCCCTTGTCCAGTTCCTCCTCGGCTGGTTTTTCGTTCGTCCTGCGGCTCCTCCTGCAGAGGGCCTTCTTCGTTCCCAGTCATCATTTCCTCAATCAATCTTGCCTTGTACTCTGCGGTCCTCTTTTCTATCTCTGCTAGTTTGCGCCTCGCATCCGTGACCCTTACTTTCTTTKACACAGCTCCCTCTGAACTCCGGGGGCTTGTCCTATCCTTATTCCTGCCYTCCTTGGTCTCCTGAGTCCCTTGCCTGCTTCCTCCGGCTTTTCCCGAGCTTTCCCCTGAGGAGATTTCCTTCCGGTTCCCTTTGGTACCATCTGGATTTATCGATTCTCTGTCTTTCTGCCCTTCTTCACTTTGTGCGGCACTGCCTCCTAAGCCTGGCCCTCCTTCGCCCTTATGGTTATCCGTCTCATCCTCCGTTGCCATTCTGCCTAGTTTTGCATAAACCAGAGAATTCCCAGGACACACACAACGCGAGGCATTTAGGTTCCCTATGTCCCTGGCTTTGTTGGCTTATCTCTTATTCGGGAAATAGCCTTCTCCCTATTTACGTCTCCTGGTTTCTTCCTTAAAAAAGAGCCACGACTGACCCTGCTGCCCTGCCGAGCTAAGGGTGTGACTTAGTTTCCTTTATCACAGGCTCGTTTAGAGCGCCCTTGTCGAGTCGGCCGGTGCGTAGGAGTCCGGGTTAGGCATCCCGCTATGAAAGTTTCCCGAGCAGCATTCCCCTTTTTGACCTTCGGGGTCATGACAACCATTAGGAGTCTACCCCCTCCCCCCCTTCATTCTTTAGTGGTTTTTTATCGTCCGGGTCTGAGGCCCTTCCTCATTTCCATTGGCGGATTTATATTGAATTTGCCCTATTGGCCCGTCCCCGGAGGCTAGTCCCGTTCTCGCCCCTGTGGCCCTTCTGGTTCGGTAGGCTCCTCGAATAGTTGAGCCACCCCTGCTAAATAACTTTCTCCTATTTCGATTTCTCTTAGGATTATATGCTCGTAATCCGCCCAGGCTAGCCGCGGCAACCCAAATATCAGAATATGGATGACTTCCAGTAACTCATGGGCCCTGTTTCCCCAGAACGGCCCATGTTCCACAAAAACATCGTAGAACATCCAGATGGTTTGAAAGGGGAAGTGGTCTACCCAGATTATTGCTGAGTCTGCCAACGCTTGTGCCCTTGAGCGGCTCCCGAAAATGAGGTCTATCATAAACCGGGGGACTCGACACCTCAGCGGTGTGGTTGGTGCCCTGAACTCCCTCCAACCCCCCATTTCCACCCTAGTAAGCAAGTCCACGTTTCTTCTACCCCTGACCGATTGTCCTATCCGCGTCAATGCCCGGGCCGCCCTTCGAAAAACTGGGGCCAACTCGTGGCCTTGCGCTATCCCTATCCCCAATAAGTGYSAGCCAACCTCGGGTAGGTATAGGGSCCCGGTTACTTCTAAATTGGTGAACAAATCGTCCCCRGGCCCTCGGTTGAGTCTCATCCCCGTCCACCGAAATTCCACCAACATGAAGGCGCTCTCTTCCTAGGGTCACGGCCCGCCATTCCATGTCGAACCCCCGAAAGTTGGGATTTGACRGGAGGGACACTTCCCATCGCCCGCCGTTATTCCAGGGCGGTCCGGGGTACCGGGGCTGACGTTCCATTCGCACACGTGGCTGGCGTTCCATTCSCACACGTCTTGCTGCCATTGTCGCCTTGGCGATTCCCTGCATAGTCCACATAGAGAGGGTTACAGCCAATCCTTAGTAAACGTCCACCTACTGCCCCCTTACCCTTCATGTCTTCATTCTTCTTCTCTGATCCCAACTACCCCTCCATATCCTCAGGAGCARCAACCCCCTCCGGTTGTTCGTASAGCCGGTAAAGGTTATCTATGTAGGTCGCACCCCGACCTATTTCCCGCCGGATGACTCTCCACATAGCCTCATCACTTATTTGCGGAACTCCTGRTCTAGTMTTKACTGCCGCTCGTAGTATACGAAGCACSACGTGYCCCWGTTCGTCTTCAAAAGGCCCCATCTCTAGGAAGGCCTGGTAGTATTCCTGATACATTAATGCTTCGTCAAATTCAAGCCTAGTTAGGGCAGCTACCGCCTGCCCCACTCGCTCTACGCCTCCCAGTCGTCTTGGTAGAAAGGGTGGAAGACTCATTCGTACGACTCATTTGCTAACTCAAAGACCCATGCTGCGGCGACTTTTACCTCAGACGTCACGTCATCTCGTTCCGGATTTGCGAACTCAAATCCTTCTCGCCAGGTTATTTGCCATGCCCCTTCGAACATTCGCACGGGGTCATCCCTGGAAGCCAAAGCAATCCCAAAGGTCCGCCATCCTTAGTCCGATTGCTGCACCCACCGAGATTCCACGCCTTTCATGCTTTAGTCTTTCAGCACTCCCTACCTATCGTACACTAGTACTTGTTGCTATSCCTGCCCCATACACRTACACATCTTCTTCCCCTTTTTGGTGTTGCTACCTCTTCTCGTTTTGAACCCCCTCGCATCCCTTGCTAACTGATGTACACGCCCCCTTTTCTTACGCAATATCCTGATCCACCTGCACCCTCCATACTCCGACCTCCCTGCGGTGTTTGATCTTTGGGTCCCTCTAATCGAACCACAGTACCTCAAACAGCGTAAAGACATCGTCCACGTAGGATGGCGAGGCCGCCGCCTCCCGACTATGGCGTCCCAAGCTCCCGCGTCTACCTCTAGGCGGTCGTACTTACCTATCCTCAAGACGGTGATGACTTCACTGGCTTTATCGTCGTAGAAGGGCCCATATTTTAAGGAAACCCTATAGAATTCCTCGGTCAGCCAGGCACATTCTATGTGTACTTCCCTCATGGAGTCGGCCACGTCTGCTATGTGCTCGAATCCCCCGAACCAGTCAACCACGAACTCGAGAACCCACGCTGTTGTGCGTAGGCAGGGAGGCTTGAGTTCCCTCCATCCTCCCATCACAACTCTGCTACTAACTTCGTCCCACCCCTTGTTGGCGAACCTTTTGCCTTCCTTTCGGGTTCGTGCCTCTGCATCCCCTAGAAGCCACATTGGATCCTGTCCCATCGCTAAAGTAGTGCAAAATAGGTGCCACCCATCTTCGGAAAGGACAATCGTTCCGACCGACTCCACTTTGCCCTCTGCTATCTCGTCCCAACCTTCCTCTTCCCTTATCGGGTTCCAAATCCGTTCTATCCATRCATATGATAATTCYCGGGCAACCTCAAACCCAACCCAGTCGCACGTGGTCCCCCTCCATTCGTTCTCTGTTGGTATAGGCATTTCTATTCCTCCTTTGAGTCGCCTTGGTTCCCATCCCTTGAAGGTGTATTCCATCATCCTTTCCTCTCTAGTCATCTCTCCACTTCCTGAACAATACCAGGCCACCCGTTTTCCYTAGGTTAAGTCACTCCCCCCTTAGAAGTCCCAGTCCTYTATCTCATCATCCTCGTCCTCATCGCTGAAGTCGTCCTCTTCGTCGTAGAACAACTCTTTCACCCCTTCCAGAAATGTTTCCCCTATTGCCACATTCCGATAGACTATCCTCCAATGCACGGAGCTAGCGATAAAAACATCGTCTACACTAAGGCAGTTTAGTACCTCGGCCAGCTCGTCCGCCCTGTTCCCCTCAAACGACCCCATTTCTGCCGACAACCGAAAGAAATCTTGCCTAGCGCACTGGTATAGTCCGAGGTTCGTCGTGGACTGGCATATTTGTACTAACCTGCTCCGGGTCCTGAAAACTGCGTCCACCAGGAAGGGAGGCAACACGCATCGCATGGTTCTAACGGGTCGCCTCATGCTCCCTCTATCCCCAAGTTCCACCCGCACATTTACCCTCTCCATTTCCATTTCCCTCCGTTGACACGCAGCCCATACAACCTCCGCTTCTGCCTTCCTAAACAATTCATCCGGCGTATTCCCGAGTGCCAATTCTATGACCATAGCATTCTCCCCGTCTTGCGACAAGTAGACCCACCCCCGGGCTTCCACTGTCCCTCGGAACTCCAGATCCATTAATCTTGGCGACAACCTYGTCAAGCTGACATTAGCCCACATCGTCTCTATCCATAGGAACGCGTCCTCCCCTTCCAGCATTACGGTTTGGTATGCTAGTTCAAGGTCCGTCCACGTCCCATTTTCCGGGAGGACGACCGACACCCCATCCTTTACATCTACCGGCATTTCCSGGTCGCTGGTATAGACCRGSGAAGACAACCATCGCGCCATCTTGTTTCCAGCACCCAACCCCTGCTTTCATAAGAGAGTACCAAACGGTCCTTCTGGTCAGGTCAACCCTTGTCCTAGATGATAATTATTTCAGACCCCTCATTAAGGTCTCCTTAATGTACCTCCCCAATCCTAAGTACCTCCTTCCCATAATACCCTCGGTCGGCCATCCATTTCCCCACATTCCTTCTCTTGGTTCAATTCCAAATGGCCTCTATCCTCCTTCCTTCCGATCATCTCTCACTCGTGTGGACTCAGAAAAGAGGGGGTATAGACTTAGAAATATGCCCATCCAACAATCCAAGCTCAATCAATTTTTACGGAGGGAGGAACACACGAAAAAATCAGGCAATCTCACATACGGGCCAGTCATCTCCTCACCGGCCATCCCCAATATGGTCTCTCCGCTGGTACTATCGGTAGAGTTTTATCCCATACCTCAAGCGCTGCTCAACCGTCGCGAGCGCGGTACCCAGGCTCCGGCAAGGCGTTAGCCCTTTTTTTGTACCCAGAATACCCCATCCCGTCTTGCCGCTCTTGCACATCCCTACCGACACCGAGGGTTACCCCGTGTGCCTAAGTACAGGGACAAAAGTCAGTCGTCCGGGCATTCACTTCCATCGGTCCGATAAGAATCAGCCTTTCCAAAACCATGCTACTAGAGGCTACTAATCGTCTCCGAGGCTCCATCTTTGTCCGCATGCAGTGGTACTCCCTCCGCCAGTCAACAGGCTAAGCCCCGCCTAAGGAGACGTTTCGCACCCCGTCCGGCAGATCATCGAGCCAAAGCTCGTCACCTCGCGAATGAGAATGCTACTAATCACCCGGCGTGACAAACTCCCGTCCGACAGCTCGGTGGCCTGACCTCCACACACGAACACACGGCAACCTACAAAAAGAGAGCGACGTTTCGCAACCCGCACCGGCCGGTGCAAACCAATCCTTTCCTTCCGAAAGGCAGGACACTCGAATCCCATCATGCAAACACAAGCCCCAAGTGGGACACATAGAATACAAGTGCCTTTCCCTTGGTGCTCCCTACGCTTCCTACCCATAACTCACATTTCTCTCTCAGGACCATGAGTGCCACTCCCCCTATTTTCATACATAGTGGTTGGTTCCTTCTCGTGAGAATCTTCAAAGGTGAGCTAGTTTTCCTCGGAGTCTAGCAACTCCCTTCATTCCCTTTCTCTTCACTTGTCTGTCCTTTCATAGGGCGGGATTGTTCCTTCTTGATGACCTGTTGTGTTCATATTGGTTCCTTCAAGCATTTCAAAAAAAAGGTGCAAAGAGCATGAGCCCATTGGGCAAAAAGAAGAAGATAGAAGGGTACCCGTCCGGCCGGATCACTCCGCTGCGGGATTTTCATTGGAGCCCCGCCTAAGCCAAGCACCAACCGCCTGCCAGGTAACCGGAGCCCTTCTTTCATACGAAGAGGAAGGGTCGACCTGCGACTTGCCCAAGGCTTCCCCGGGCTGGCGAACACCAGCACCGGACGAAGGAGGGCTAGAGTCATTCCACAAGGAAATGGTTGATCAAGTGCATAGCATGCATGTTATACCTCCACGCCTGGCCATGTCATGTGCCCGACCACTCTCAAATCTGATTTCTCACAAGGGAAAGAGCAAACACATGTCCATTTTCCTTATCTTGGGTTGTGTACACGTCCATGCGTCGGGCGCCCCCGTCGGAATCGCAAGGGTCAATTTAACCCTTGCCCGTCACCTCCACCATTTTTGTAGGGTCAAACCCCGGTAGACTTTCGAGCCTTAGTCGACCCCACTGCGGGTTCCAATTGGCTCGGCCCGCCCACGCTCATGCTAAATGCACGGGCCGTTCGTCCCAAGGTCACCCCCACCTAGTGCTTTGAGATGGATGGGGGTGGGCCGTCGCGCGAGAGAGCTTTGACATTGGGGATGTAGCTCAGCCCTCACGCCTGGTGGTAGTCTCGCTGGTCATTCCGCAACGCTGATTTCTTTTTTTTTATTCATAGTTGGGTTCTCATACAATTGCTCCTTCCAATACGCAGGCAGTCCAAGGGTTCTTTGAGCGCTTCTCTTCTCTTGTGCGCAGGCTAAGCGTCATCCTTAGGCCGCACACCATTTCCCTAAGCATTGTAGCTATAAGGCCTCATCGGGGTGCGGCGAGGTCGTCCTCCCCCTCGCCTCTACGCATCCATCGGTTCTCACAATTTGCTTTCAACCTTATTGAGGTAGGCCGCTTAGTCTTTTCGGGGCCCTTATATGCATGCACACACAACATCACATTTTCCTTGGTACGACTGCACTCTCATTTACACTCCGAGTCTCAAGCGCAAAACTCATTTCCATGGGTTGGCTCTATGCCAAGGGTCCCGTAGCCCTTTTGTCCCTCTTCCCTTTCCCTCTTGGTGCCCAGTTCCTCTGGGCTCTATCCTGCTCAAGGCCTTTTTTTTTTGCCATCACTCACCTACACAATCCCACACAAGCAAGAAGATCCATACAATCCCCCGTTGGGGGTCAACACATAGCCCTTCCCACATGCCTATCTTTTCAAACTTTTTGGCTGCGCTTTTGTTCCCTCTTGTTGCTCAATCAGCCCATTCTCTTCTTATATTGGTGCAGTCAGGGAAATGGTTGAGTCAAACTGATCTTGCTTTCACTTATACTTTTTCTCGGATTCCTCCTCTTTTTCCCACTTTCTCAATCGTCCTTTCCTTTGCCTTCTTGGTGGCGCAAGGGACCGGCTACCCTCCCCTTGCCCTCTTTCTACACCAAGTGAGGTCTGATCTCTTCTTACCGTTCGCACCCTCACAATGTACCAAGTGAGGGGAGAAGGGTTAGTCGTATGCCAAGTGGGGGGAAGAGAGAGATGGAAGCAAAAGTGAACGAGGAAAGAAAGAGTGGTGGAGAGGGAGGAGAGAGAGAGAGAGTGAAAGATAGAGAGAGGGAAAGATATATATATATATATATATATATATAGAGAGAGAGAGAGAGAGAGAGAGGGAGAGAGAGAGAGAGAAGAGAAGAGAGAGAGGGAGAAAGAAAGAAAGAACGAGGGAGAAGGAGAAAGAGAGAAGAGATCCCTAATCCTAATCAAGTCATCACCCGTAGTAGCAGCCAAATGTTGGTCACACATCCCATAGTAACAGATCAACTAAGTATGAATCGAATACTTTAATACACATGAACTTGCCATTTGAGAAACTAGGACTTGCAAACAGCACATGCACATGGAGAAAATATCAACTAAGTAGGAGCCGGAACATCACACCAAGCATGGACATGACAATGAGAAGCAAGAACTAATGGAAAGCATCTGCACATAGAGAAGAGATTCAACCTGAACATCACACCAAATATTAACATGACAATGAGAAGCTATAACTAGTGGAAAGCACATGCAGATAGAGAAGAGATCAACGGGAACATCACACCAAGCTCAAACATGACAATGAGAAGCTACAACTAGTGGAAAGCACATGTACATAGAGAAAGGATCAACTAAGTAAGATCCAGAACATCACATCAAGCATGAACATGATAATGAGAAGCTACAACTAGTGGAAAGCATATGCACATAGAGAAGAGATCAGCTAAGTAAGATCCGGAACGTCACATCAAGTACGAACATGACAATGAGAAGCTACAACTAGTGGAAAGCACATGCACATAGAAGAGAGATCAACCGAAACATCACACCAAGTAAGAACATGACAATGAGAGGCTAGAACTAATGGAAAGCACATGCGCATGGAGAAGAGATCAACCAAGTAAGATCTGGAACATCACATCAAGCATGAACATGACAATGAGAAGCTACAACTAGTGGAAAGCACATGCACATAGAGAAGAGATCAACTAAGTAAGATCCGGA